TGCAGTGTTGCAGCAAAAACTTTACACCTCCAAAAGCTATTTTCCATCTGAAATCATTATGGAAATTCAGCAAGCCAAGAATACAGCTTATTTTTTTACCATGTGGCTTTTCTGCAACAGGGAATAACTTTGCATAAATGGGAGTTTTTAAATGGAAGAGTCCGATATCCCAATTATCTTTGAATTCGATATTTGGAACTTTTTAAATGCAATAAACTATTTTATGCAGTAGTTGTGAAGTCCTGTTCATTAACCTTGGTGATGTAACTAATAATCTGAATGAAATTTCTCTCAAATTTCATATTTGAGCTGATTGGATAGTGCCATGATATTTTCACTCTGCTTTCAGATTTCATTTCCTTGCGCTGTCTTTAAGATTGCTTGCATATGCTAGAAGGTGTGGGGGGGAGGCAAAGTTTTCCACAACTTTTTCCATTCCCCTTCCCAAGCCTAGCTTCTTCAGGCTTTGTTTACATCTTCTATGAAGGGATGCTGTTGTGACTTGTAACTCAGCCAAAGAGCCAGAGGTTGATCTTCCTGTGCTCCACTCTGCCCCCTTGTGATAGGTAGGCTGAAACGTTCATCTTCCCTGAATTAGATAACACATACTTATGCATGGTAAGTCAAGAGAAGAATAACATCTTGCTATGTGAAGGAACTCTCTCCTTGTCTAAAAACATTGACCTGCCCTTTCACATGTAAACTGAAGGTTGGAGTGGCTTTTTTTGTTTTTTTTACAGAAATGGAACATGTGGGTGAGGGGGGGGGAATGTAAAATTCGCACTTACCATGACTTTATTTCAATAGGTTCCACTGTTCTTTCCAGCTAGTACTTAACTTACTTCTGTTATCTAGGGAAAAATTGATGGGTCTTTTTGTCTATTTCTAAGAATCTGCACACAATTGTGAGGTATTAAATTAAGTCTCGGTCTCTGGTATACACCTAGCAAAACATTCTGACAATAACACACGGTACGCGTGTGTATGGGTTCTTGTCATGTTACAGGGGGATGCTCCTCGAGTTGGGATATATATACATGTAAGCCTTTGGGGTAACACAACTACTTCCAATAAGTGGCAATCCGTATAATAACACAATGAAATTTAAGTCCAGCGGCACCTTAGAAACCAACATTTTCCAAGGTATATGTTTTCATGAGTCAAATCTCACTTAATCAGATGCAAGTATTTGATCATAAGTCATTAATAGTACACTTGGATGGTCATCTTGGATGGTTTAAAATTGATTGGCTAATAATTGGGTCATTATTTTAAGCAGGGCTTTTTTTGTAGGAAAAGCCCAGCAGGAACTCATTAGCATAATAGGCCACACCCAACAACAGAAACTTATTAGCATATTAGGCCACACCCCTGACAGCACAGCTCAGTAGCATATTAGGCCACACCCCATGCCTTCCCTTGGCTTATCTGGGTGACCCGCAGCCACGGGGAGCCCGGGCAAACCAGCCCTTAAGCAGGCCAGGGAAGGCACGGGGGGGCCTTTAA